TTGTCCACGAAAGTGACCGCATTTCTTTGAAAAAATTCCCTGAGAAGATGAGAAAATCAACCAGGCGTACATTCCTAACTTAGTCATGACTTGTTCTTGAAATTCTACTAGTTTTTCAATGTCTCGGCTGTAAAAAAATTTCGACCTAGATCTCAGGTAATGGTGCTCGACCGTCGAGTTCTGGTTGAAAAACCAGGTCTGGAAATGGAACGACGCGACTTGTTGGGAAACCTAATAGTGTAATGTTAGAAGAGGTCATGTGTAAGTAGAGGGTACATCATTGATTGATTTCTCCAAGGGAAGATAAAGTTAGAGATAGTTGTCGGTTTGGTCAATTTTTGTCGGCTGGACCTCCCATTTCGCAGGCCTAAAAACTCTGAACAAATGTGGAAGAAAAACACAGCATCTTGTAGAGCAGACTTCGAATTCTCTTTCGAATTCTCTTTCGAGTGGTGAGTTGCTGTAAAAGCATGGACATTTAGAAGAAAATTTTTCATTTGAAAAAAAGCGCCACTACTTATGAGACAACCTAACAGATAAAATAACACTTCTGCGGTGGGGAGGTGAAGCAATGTTGGTCGCTCAATGACGTTATCGCATCGTCTAAAGCCCCTGTTCCTTCTTAGCTTCTGCAACATTTCATTTAACGCAATAATATGAGGTCGTGTCGAAATCTATTCTGTGAGTAGTATAGCCCACGAGTATGTTCTAGTACTCAATAATAGTAGTGACCATGGATAGCCCTTACCTGCGCTCGTCCATTCGAGTGAAAGTCGGATCTCTGCCTCTGCTTACCTCCTCCGGCGTGGGGTTCCTATGCGCACCGTGTGGTGTTGAACGACGCGCTTCCCTGGAGGCAAGGTACGATAAACTCGATGCGCATTGTGTTTGTATACGCTACTGGAAGAAGAAGCCAGGCGGTAGAGAAAGCGAGTTTCCGTGGCAAACTGAGCTAATCGCAGGGCAGTAAGCTTCTAGACTCAATGCCCCAAAACCACTGCCCGCCAGTTTGCTGCCAGTTATAGCACCGTTTGCTCTTCATTCTGGAAGAGTATTCCACTTTATACGACCGCATCTATTAGTATACTTTCATAGTATCGGCTTGAAAATGCACAGCAGTGACTCTAGCGCCTTGCAAACAGGGTCAACCCTACGTTGTTACGAGTAACAACGGGGGGTCGTACTCAGTTGAGCTTGGAGGGGGGGTCGTACTCTCTCGGTGGCCGGCAGTGGGATTCTTGGTGATATCCTACTGATCATGGATAGTGGTACGAAGGGAAGAGCAAACGCAGCACAGAAAGTGTATATTATGTAGTGTATATTAGTGCAATTATGCAAAGCCTTCTCCCCAAGGACGCAGTCATGAAGTGGAAGACATGCAGCATCGTCTGAAAAAAGTACTCGCATTGTGACATGGATAAAGCCACGAGACCACATATGAAACTAATTGCCTTAGAAACATGGATAATAGCCAGCACGTTACGTTTGCGCAAGATGACTGATACTAGAGCATCTATAAACCACGCTTCCCTCTAAATGAGCTTTCAAATGAATCAGCGAATTAGAAGGGCGCCCGAGGCGTGGCGCGCACCAAGGCAAGGGATGTAGTGCAAGCGCATGCTCGAAGCTTTCTAGCACATCCTAAATTAAACAAAATTGGTCTTCCAAGAAGTTACGGGCAGTGAAACCTAAGAAAACTCGCGTTTTCGAGAAAATGGCTTGAAGAATACCCCTCAAAATAAAAAGTAACAACGGGACTAATTTTTGAACTGCTGATCTTTCAGGAACGCTTGGGTGCTCGTTAGAAAGCTTGAATCCTGTAGTTTATTAAGTTATGATCGTTTGAAGGTCAAAAAGTCGCTTTGCACAGAAAAAAGTAACAACGTACTAAATTTTTATTAAATTAACTTTCGAAGAATTTTTACCCATGGAGAGAGAATAATTTGAATTTTCCAAATCAAATCACTTCGGCGCAGAAGCTCGAATATGAAGGAAGTTATAGCCCTAGAAAGAGGAGTGTAAAAATTGTGTTTCAATTTTATTTTTTGCCTAATAACTTATTCATTCCGAAGTAGTCAGCCTACGATGCTATACGGCAGCGAGTGCTGGCCCCTGAACAAGAACCACGAAAGGCAGCTTCACTCCGCTGAGATGAGGATGCTGAGATGGGCCTGCGGCTGGACGCGGCTGGACAGGGTCAGAAACGAGGATGTCAGAGCGGTCATGCAGACTGCCCCTGTCCAGCTGAAGGTACGGGAACAGCGTCTGCGATGGTATGGGCATGTGCTAAGGAGGCCACAGGATCATCCGATAAGAACAGCGATGGACTTCGAAGTGCAAGGCAAGCGAGCCCCAAAGAAGAGGTGGAGAGACGTGATCAAGAAGGACCTAAGTGAAGTCATGGCCACAGCAGAAGATGCCCTGGACAGAGCAAAGTGGCGACGACTGACAAAGACAGCGGACCCTGCGACTGCGCGGGACTAACGCTAAGGAGAAGAAGAAGAACTTATTTATTCCGAAGTGTTTGGGAACAAATGAGCACTCGCGAGGAAGAAGGAGCCACGTCGATCCAAAATCCACCTGAATCTTCCGAACTACCTGAAATGTAAAAAAAAAACTCCTCGAATTTTCACACTCCCCGTTCGACGCCTCTTCACCGTGAGCAAATGCGCTCCACCGTCAGGAGGCCAAAGGGACTTACGTAGCAATAAATATTGATGGTAAACACTGTCTCTACACAAGTGTTACATACAAGGGGGGGGTCGTATCAAATCACCCATGAAGGGGGGGGGGTCGTAAAAAATTTCCAAAGAGTAACAACGATAGGGTTGACCCTGCTTGCAAAGTAAGCTAATGACGGCATATGAGCTAATGGACGAGATACCTTGCTAACACCTCATGATAGGCAACGTGGATCGCGAAGCAGCGGTCAATCCAGATATGCGCAGCTTAGTGGAGTCACGGAACAAGGATGCTCACACAACGTTTCAGGACCTCCCTAGCTCATTTCAAGTGGGAGAAGAGAGAGTCTTTTCGCAAGCTATCGGCGGTTTGATTCGCTTTCCTTCATTTTAAGTCAAACTCGCTTCCCACAATTTCATTATAGATCGCTGTGACCCACCAATCTGATCTGGGGTTGCTGTTTCATCCTTATGGGTTGTGCCTTTGATGAATAAAAAGTAAACTGATTCAATTCTCGTTGTGACAGAAACAACTCTAACTGTTCTAGCATCAATTATAGTAGTGACCAGTTGTAACCCTTACCTGCGCTCGTCCATTCGAGTGAAAGTCGGATCTCTGCCTCTGATCACCTCCTCCGGCGTGGGGTTCCTATGTGCGCCGTGTGGGGAAGAACGGCGCGTTTCCCTGGAAGGCGAGATTACGATAAACTCGATGCGCATTGTGTTTGAGTATGCACTACTGGAAGCGGTAGCCACGCGGTAGAGAAAGCGAGTTGTAGCGTTTCCGCGGCAAATTGAGCGAATTGCAGAGCAGTAAGCTCCTGGACTCAATCCCCATGACCACTTCGCCCGCCAGTTTGCTACCAGTTGCAGCACCGTTTGCTTTTCATTCTGGAAGAGTACCCCACTTCACACGGCCGCATCTATTAATACATCTAAGTTGTCATCAATCGAAACATGCTTTATTTATTGGTCTGATCTCGGCTTTAGGAGTTTGAACTCCAACCGATCTCTTTTTTGTTCACAAGGAAAGGCTCCCAGGTCGCCATGGCCATTCAAGAAGAGATGTATACGCTAGATGTGCCTTGAACGCTGATCTCAAATCTACCTTCCAAATCTGCTAAACGATTCTCTGAACGGAGTTATGAAGCAAAACAGCGCAACGGTAGTGGTCGGAGACTCACAGTCCAAACGTCGTAGGATCAGTCCCTTATCGAGTCCCGCCCATACCGTTGCACTGTTTTGCTTCATAACTCCCTTCAGAGAATCGTTTAGCAGATTTGGAAGGTAGATTTGAGATCAGCGTTCAAAGGCACATCTAGGCGTATACATCTCTTCTTGAATGGCCATGGCGACCTGGGAGCCTTTCCTTGTTAGTGGATCAATCAATGCCGAAAATCAACGAAAAATAAAGGGTTCTTCTCATTTCGCATGTTCGTTGTTCATCTTCTACTTTTTTGACCATTGACGCACCATTGGCGTTTCTTTCCTCACTAAACCCACCCAAAAACTATTTTAATCGCTGCTCTTTGAATTTGCCCACATTCCCTCTGAGTTTTTCTATAGATTAGAAGAAACTATCTGTGACAGAAATCATTACAAAGTGAAAATATTCCAAGTTCACTGCTAATGAAATAGCACCTCACCCTGCAAGGTACGGATCTGTATAAGTGGGCTTTCGCTCCGTAGGGTGAATCAGATTTACCACCTCTGCCTCTGAAATATCAAAAAAATGAAAACAAATAGTCAAGGATAATTTATTAAGGGTTGGTGTCTCACTCTGGATAGTATAGATCTGTGTGAATAGCCATTGCTTCGAACGGCGCATCAGGTTTACCTGCATTCTCTCTGAAAATTCCACAGTAAAATAACGATTTGTTCACCCCAAAGAAGAACGGAGTATGTTTGCATCTTGAATGCTGTATTGTTTGAAAAATTCGCAGGTATTTCCAATCAACGCTCGTCACCTCATATCACGACAACACAGGATAAGGGCCCACAAGTGCAACGCCGCCGTTACAAGCGTGTCGAGAGCCATCCCCACAGAGGTGGCACGAGCAACTGAAAAAAGCATTCTGAACTTCAGAGCATGTATGAAAATTTGAAAAGCTTCTGCTAGGCTTTTCCGTTTTGAAAAAGAAAAGTGTCTAGCTACGTCTTAGAAACACATCATGCGTCTACATCTGAAAACGAAACAAAGATCAAATTTGCCCTGTATAAAGGAAGCGAACTTGAAGTCAAGAGACAGGATTAGGTCCCATAAAGCAAGCCGTCCAGTCAGAAGCACGGTCCCTCCAAGTGCAGAAGGCGCGAAACTGTTCCGTCTTGAAAAAGCGCAGTAAAGGCACTCAGACCTTGCCTTGTGTGCCGCCATGCTGCCATCCCTAAACAATCGCGGTATAAGTAGGGTGTGGTGCGCGACGTGCTCGAGCTCAAAGTTTTCCCTCTCTTCGCAGCGTAGTGTCTTGCCACGGCCAACCTCAGTAGGGGAACTTCAGTGTTTTCTGTGGCGCTTTTTGCTTTCCTCCCCAGCATTTTTCCTCATAGCAGTTTATGTATGGTTTTCAAACAAATTATCCCACTAACTCGATCCCTAAAGCTTTGAATAAACACAATGGGTTTAGATGGCTTCCTTTTTAGGACTGAATAGAGACAACCACCATCCACGAATTCGCCGATGTCGCTTGTGGAAAGTGAGTGACTGGGGCTATAGTTCCTCGCTCGATATTCTCCCCACTCAATGTCTCACTGCTTTAGTGCAGCCGAGCTATGGGAATGAGGAAACTCTCACTTCTGACATTTTCGACAAATTCGTTCTCTTCCTTCCTTCACCGCAGTGAAATTCGCATCTCCTCTATCATTTCTAGCGAGAACCAAACCAACTCGATCCTGTAGTGCACCTTCACTGCAACCAAGATGAGTCCTAGTGGACCAATCCTTTTGTGGATGAGGAAAAAAGCTGTTTAAAGAGGCCGGAGGTAGCCCTAGCGGTTAAAGTATTGCACAAAGGTCCTATAGCCTTCCAATCACCACTACAACCGCTTACACTTCTTCCGTTTACAGCTTAGTACCTGCGCTCCCTTATTCTTTGCTCTGTCGCCTATTCTCTCTCCTTCGTTCTCACAAGAGGGGTCCCTTTCATAAGGTCAACGAAGTGCTTTTCCGATATCTTGCATGTTTAAGGCTCGTGCAGAACATAAAACTGTGGCCAATTTTTCCCAAAACACTTCTGAACCTCTAAACAGTAGTGAAGAAATGGTCCACGTCAATCCGCCGTGGTGAAGAATTTTTGCAATCCATGTTGGAGCCTCCCAATTGTCGTCAAATTACGAGGATGACATCGACGCTGGTGGCATTTGGAAACGATTTGGAGGCGCCAACATAAATTGCAAAAATTAGACATCACGGAGGATCGAACTTTGGACCATCTCTTCTCCACTATTCTGACCTTCCTAGAAGCGTTCAGGAAAAACGGACCATGGTTTTGTGTTCCTCGCATGAGTCTCTACAAAGTGCAGGAAATCATTTTGGAAAAGCACTCCATGTTCTGAGAGATCTCTCTTGTCACTCCCCTCCTTCCTTGGTACACAGCCAAGCAAATCTTTTAGTGTTGTTGACGGATTATCTTCCATTTTTCTTTATTGCCAGCCAACTACGCCCGAAAATTCACAAGAGTGGCGTGTTGGTGCGTGCCTTCAAAGGCACGCTCCAGGATTATTCGCACTCGCCTTTCCATCCCGGGTAGTAGGCGGACAAGCGTTGATGTCGCGCCCCTTTTGCCGCTTGAAAGTGCGCGACAAAGGCGCAAGGAGCTCGTCCGACCCGCAACTCACACCTTCGTCCGCAAGCCCCACCCTCCGCTGTCGGTTGCCACGTGGCGCTGCTTGAAAAGCGCGGGCGCATTTGAGGCAGCGGTCCCATTGCGACCCAATGTCATTGGCACTGGAGCAACTAGAGTTAGGTTCGTGAAACTCGTCCAACGCGCCCCTTCTCTATCCCAAGGTGGAATGCGGCTGAAATAGGGGGGGGGCTGTGCAGGGCGTATTCAGTGAGTGATTTCAGGCGCAGACTCTGAATGAATCCTATACCAATTTTGAAAAAAAAATCGTCCACTCACTTTTAACCTTGCGCTCCTCACCCATATTGCTTATATACGTAAATACGTTGTAGACAGCAGAATGTGAGACAAATATTTCAACTACGAAAAACAAAAACAAGCCGAACAGTACTATTGTAACAAGCCCCTGGAAATCAATTTCGAAATCATTTCAATCAGTGGAAATGATCAATAATCTACAGGGCATTTCAACAGAGATGATATACCTGTATGCCAACTCCCACCATGAACATTACATTCTTCTTGTTCATGCGTCCATAAAATAGCAAGAAATAGTACGCTCCTGAAGTGGCCAAAATTCTAATGAGCAGCAAAATTGAGAAAACATTCACAAAATGATGCAAAGGGAGAATCCGTCCCGTAGTGTTTTAGACCACGCACCAAGAATTAGTGTGGCAAAAGCTACCCATAGTTGAGCGGCGAGAAACAGCACATTATACACCACATAGGAGAGAGCCGACACAGTCAGAGCGAACAGGATGTAGTCCTAAAAGAGTGGTTACTTTATAATATGTAGTAATAAATGAATGTATGGAGGTGTATCCGAACTGCTTTCCGCACAGGGACGGAAATACGTGCGATTAGTGATATAGGCATAGAAAATATTATTACTGAAATAACTTACATACATCTATTAGCAAGCATACAGCTTAAAGACACGGGTCGCATTTAGATCCCAATGGAGTTTTCTGCTTGAGTGGGGTAGCAGGATTCTCAGTCAGAGGAAAGCTGGTGTCACATGACTTGAAAGTGCGCGACAAGGTATGTAGCTGATGCCTCCGCATGACCGCTGCGACCGCTTCCACCCCTATCGATTCTGCCGTGTAACGCATCTGCTTCCTCTCATGTACAACGTGCTCTCTCGCGTTTTCCATAACCTCGCAGCGGTGTGTCTCCCCGTTGTGCGACGGTCGACCTCACAGGAGAATTTCAGTGTTTTGCGCATATCATCGAACTTTTCGTCGCAAAGGATGCCGCTGTTCATTGGGAGTTATACGGCGAATTATTCCTTAGATGTCCCCCATAAGCAGAATGCCGCTGGTATTGGGAACTACACGGCAAATTATTCCTTAGATGTCCCCCCATAAGCAGAATCAGGCCCACCTTCGCTGCTTTCACCGTCTCCAGAATATGACGTCATCTGTCATCACCGTCGAGCTCAAGGAGGCCTACCATAATCGCTCCATTCTGAAGCTGCTACATAATTTCTTCAATCGGATAACTGGTGAATGGCTTCTTAGGGACACTAGCTCTGACTATGCAAGATGGCTTTTGACCAGCGTTTCAGAGACGTCGTAATCGTCTATGGTTTCTCGACGACCCCGTTGAGCTCGTACCGTGAACCATGTTTCCGTGGGAAAATCTTCTGATGTCGTCGGTGTAGAAAGCCCCTATGCAATTTTTTGATAGAATAGAATGTGCTCTTCAATATGCAATTGAGCTCATTCGGTTTGGTTTTGGCAAAGTGTAATTAATTCTGTTTTGAATGTGAGTGAGAGTGACTTTTTTTTGCCCCCCCCCCTATGTATACATGTGTATACTCTCAGCAATGTGGAACAACATATGTTCCCAGAACCTGGACGGCTGGATTTT